ATGAGTATTAAACATTAAACAAACACGCAGAAGCAGACTAAATGGAAGAGCACAGTCAGACAAATACACGCACAGATGTCAATGACCAGAACATACACGTGTACAAATTAATGTGTAAATACAATAATCTTTGTTGGCACTGTCCTAATGGAAGAGGAATACCACAGGGCTAATATCACACACCGACATTAAACTGAACCACCTTAAATAAATATCGTACTCAGAATGCAAGTTCAAGGTGGTGTATTCATGAATTACAGCATGAATAAAGTCATTTGTGGACATGTTTTCCCTAAATAATTAAACAGAAGCCTCTGGCAGACCTTACTCTTATTTTTTTCCTTGAGTACCACCAGGTACAAGGAATAAAGGATTTTGGCAAAATATCACACTGTGATTTTTCTGAACAATTTTGCAACTGTGATTTAAAGCTGTTTTAATCAATATTTGTATATTAAAGTCCCCCTCCACTCCACTTTTTTTCTTATTCCTACACTGTGGGAGTTTGACACTAGAATGATGTTTTCACATTCATCTGCTGAATGTGGAAAGTTTTTCTGTGCTCATTGAAAATCAGATTTTTTAAGAGATATAAGCATGATTTGGGACAAATCACAAATAATTTGGAAGTCAGTCCTGGTCCAGTATGTGACTTGTACAGTCTGATGTAGAAACTTGAATTGAAATATTGTGATTCAATATTTTTTTTTTATATTTTCTTACCTCCCTATCTAGCTGCTGAACATAGTGGAGCATTTAGTCGCTAAAGTGCATTTCTTTCAGGAGTTGGTGCAGACTGAAGCACAGCAGTTGAACCAAAGGAGCTAATTGTGGACTTTCTCGGTTTCCTCCTATGAATACCTAGCTAGAGTGGCCTGGAAACAAGGAGGTCCTCTACAAGTATGGCCAGAGCCAGATCTACTTCCTGCAGAGACTCAGAGGTTTTAAAAAAGTACTGATACAGGCATGTGAAGAGCTCAAGAATTTAATTTTATGGCTTGGCCATCTCACAGATTCAATGTTTATTAGCTACAGCTAGTTAACTCTCTGGCAACAGTTTTCCTATCAGCCATTAAACAGTCACAGTCACCAACCAAAACTTTCACCTCTAACAGCTTGTGAAGACAATAATTGAATTGTTTTTTGTCATTTGGAAACTGCACTTATTCAAATCATGATTTTGATATTAAAATGATGAATCTCTCAGGCTTTTCAGATGCTAATGACTACTGTGATACAATGGCGGAAAAGCCTTGGTGCAAAATCTCCTTACAGCTCAAAACAGGAAGAGTGTGCTGTCCACATACACAGAACTGATGCTCTGAAGTAATGGTGGAGCATTAGGTATGAGGCACAGATGCTTGATTTTGTACCATTTTGTCTCTATTGATTATGAGCTTATGAAACCAGAACACTGCATTTCATATTATTGTTCTTAAGTCTTCCTGTTTCAGGTTGTGTCCCATACAGAATTAAACGATCCACCGACTACACTATCAAAACTCAGGTTTAATGATATGCTTTTAAGGGCACTGAAATAAAACCAACGAGGTTCCGTATTGGCATAAAAGAGCCTTAATGACTAAATTTGGATAAGCACCACACGACTAGAAGGAGAAAATTTAATGCATTTAGTGCCCTTCTATCCAAAAAGTCATTTCTTTCCGTCTCCATATGCTTACATATGTTACTGGGTATACAGTACAGTATTTGACAACATTAACATCAGATATACAGAAGTCTAGGGCTGTCAATATAAAAAAAATCAATATATCATTTGTTTTCTTTATTTCACCAGGATAATCCACCTAATATTAATATTACTTTCCAGGGAATCTTGTGTACATCAAATGACACCATTACATTGAACTGGACAAAGACAATAAAACAGAGTATACAGTATATAATATACTCTGCCTTGTCTAGCACATTGTCCTCTGTAAATACTTTTGCACCGTGTATGTGTGTAACATTTTTATTGACCAGTATACACTGTAAACACATTGTCACTTCAAAGTCAAGTTAGCAACGCTAACATCTGCAACTTCTGGTCAAGTTAGCAATAACAAATATGCAATATCTAGATAGACTTTCAAAATAAAGCCTACATGGTAAATGCTGTGAAATGGTGACAGTTTGGTTAGGTTTAGACACAAAAAGTACTTGGTTAAGATTAGGAAAAGGCTGTTAGTTATGTTACATACCTGACATAACTGAGGCAAATAAAATGTAACTTATGACGTAACTAACCAATGATACTTGAAAGAAACTGTTTGATATGTCACCTAATATTGATGGCGGGTGCGTCCAGAAATTACGCTAGTGGGATACCTACAGTGTCACTTTTTGAAGGCCAGTTACCAAGCAGCAGTATTTGATGACTTGGGAGTGAGACTGGCTTGACACTATAGCATTTCAAAATTTAAATTACATATATTTTTATATCAGGGTTTTATTTTTTATATATTTTTCCTAATACTTTCATTTTCAGTTATTATCATTTATTACACACTGTTTAACTGCACATTTTATATGATCATGTGACAAATAAAAACTTGAATCTTGTTTTCATTTTTACTTCATTTTGGCAGTAATCCTGCATTTTCAAACATGAAAAGGGAGATTGTAAATTTTCTGACACACCATGCTAACACAAATAGAAAGTAAGATTTCAGTTTGATTAAATTATATTATGTTAATATTGGCATCTGTGGACCCTTGTACAAATCATGCTGTGGGCTAGACGACTGTTTGGGTTTAAGTGTCACAATCATAGAAACGAGGAGGCGACAGAACATTAGCCTCAGGATACTGTCACAAACACAGAGGAAGAGACTAACTGGTCACTTAATTCTAGTGATGATTCAAAAAAAGGCCCCAAGAACACTGAGTCCAATTGAACTAATTTATCTTATCTCTATTTACTTATTTGGTCATATAAAAGAAAATACTATGAAATACAGAAAAGACCTACCAATATTTCAATTATAGAGCTGCGTGATATGTTAAAAATAGCTAATGGTGATTATTTTGACAAATATTGCAATAAACATATATACATATTTAATTTTCACTGAAACAACTATTAAAATATTAAATAATATTAAAATTGCAGACCTAGTTTCAATATGTCTGTAATTCTTTCAAATGGGTTTTGAAAAATCTGATTGCACAGTCAGGGGCGGATCTAGAGAAATATTCATGGGGTGTCTAGAACACCAAAACATTACATTATTGTGGCACATTAGAAAAGCATTGGATAGTAATATCTAAAGGTCGCATTAGAAATCAATACATTGTTTTATTTTAAATTTTTCCCCCAAATAATTGTTTCCAAGTCTATCGCTGAGTCTAAAATGTGGCCATAACAGATTAATTGATGTTTTGATGAACATCATGATTTCTTAAATTAATCAAAATTATTGTGTTAAATTTGACAGAATTTGACA